TTTGTCTGTAATGTCTTTTGCAAACACCTTCTCTCTTTCCGTGGGTTGCCTCTTAGTTTTGTTGACTGTTTCCTTTGCTGTAGAAGCTTTTTATCTTGATGAAATCCAAATAATTCATTTTTGCTTTTGTTTCCCTTGCCTTTAGAGATGTGTCTTGTAAGAAGCTTCTGTGGCCCATGGCAAAGAGTTTACTGCCTATGTTCTCCTCTAGGATTTTGGTGGGTTCCTGTTTCACATTAAGATCTTTCATCCAGGGGCACCTGGGTGGCTCAGTGGGTTGAGCCTCTGCCTTCAGCTCAGGTCATGATCTCAGGGTCCTGGGATCGAGCCCCACATCAGTCTCTCTGCCCACCAGGGAGCCTGCTTCCCTCTCTCTCTCTCTGTCTGCCTCTCTGCCTACTTGTGATCTCTGTCAAATAAATAAATAAAATCTTAAAAAAAAAGATCTTTCAACCAGTTTGAGTTTATCTTTGTATATGGTATAATAGAATAGTCCAGTTTCATTCTTCTGCATGTGGTTGTCTAATTTTCCCAGCACCATTTATTGAAGAGACTGTTTTTTTTTTTTTCCCCCATTGGATATTTTTTTCCTGATCTGTCAAAAATTAGCTGACCATTGAGTTGAGGGTCCATTTCTGGGCTCTCTATTCTTTTCCATTGACCCAGGTGTCTGTTTTTTGCTGTCTTGATGATCACAGCTTTGTAATAGAGATTGAAGTCAGACACTTTGGTTTTCTCTTTCAACATTCCCCTGGCGATTCAATTTGGGGTCTTCTCTGATTCCGTACAAATTTTAGGATTGTGTGTTGCAGCTTCTTGAAAAATGCCAGTGGTATTTTGATAGGGATTGCATTGAAAGTGTAGATTGCTCTGGGAAGCATGGACATTTTCACAATGTTTATTCTTCCTATCCATGAGCATGGAACGTTTTTCCACCTCTTTGTGTCTTCCTCAATTTCTTTTATAAGTATTCTATAGTTTCTAGAGTATAGATCCTTTACCTCTTTGGGTAAGTAAAGATACCTCTGGGTATCTCATGGTTTTTGGGTGCTATTGTAAATGGAATCGATTCCCTAATTTCTTTTTCTTCTGTCTCATTGTTAGTGTATAGAAATGCATCTAATTTCTGTGCTTTGATTTTGTATCTTGCCACATTATTGAATTGCTGTATGAGTTCTAGTAATTTTGGGGGTTGAGACTATTAGGTTTTCCACATAAAGAATCATGTCATCTGGGAAGAGAGTTTGACTTCTTTGCCAATCTAAGTGCATTTTATTTCTTTTTATTGTCTGATTGCTGAGGTTAGGACTTCTACTACTATGTTGAACAAAAGTGGTGAGAGTGGGCATCCCTGTTGTATTCTTGACCTTAAGGGAAAAGCTCTCAGTTTTTCCCCATTGAGAATGAATGAGTGAAAAGCTGTGTGCTTTTCATAGATGACTTTTATGAAATTGAGGTATGTTCCCTCTATCCCTATATTTTAAAGAGTTTGAATCAGGAAAGGATGCTGTATTTTGTCAAATGCTTTTTCTGCATCAATTGAGAGGATTATATGGTTGTCTCTTTGATAATGTGCTCTATCACATTGATTGATTTGTTAAACCACTCTTGCCTCCCAGGAATAAATCCCACCAAGTTGCGATGGATAATCCTTTTAGTGTACTGTTGGATCCTATTAGCTAGGATCTTATTGAGTATTTTGGCATCCATGTTCATCAGGGATATTGGTCTGTAATTCTCCTTTTTCATGGGGTCTTTGCCTGGTTTTGGGATCAGGGTAATGCTGGCCTCATAGAATGAGTTTGAGAGTTTTCCTTCCATTTTTATTTTTTGAAATAGCTTCAGTAGAATAGATATTATTTTGTCTCTAAATGTTTGGTAGAATTCCCCTGAGAAGCCATCGAGCCCTGGACTTTTGTTTTTTGAGAAGTTTTTTTTTTTTTTTTCCCTACTGTTCCAATTTCCTTGCTGGTTATTGGTCAGTTCAGATTGTCTATTTCTTCCTGTTTCAGTCTTGGTAGTTTATAAGTCCAGGGATGCATCCATTTCTTCCAAATTGTCAAGTTTTTTGTCATATAGCTGCTGGTAATAAGTTATAATAATTGTCTCTATTCCTTTGGTATTGGTTGTGATCTCTCCCCTTTCATTCATGATTTTATTAATTTGGGTCCTTTCTCTTTTCTTTTGGATAAGTCTGGCCAGAGGTTTATTGATCTTATTCTTTCAGAGAACCAGCTTCTAGTTTTGTTGAGCTGTTCTACTCTATTTCTAGTTTCTATTTCATTGATTTCTGCTCCAATCTTTATTTTTTCTCTTCTCCTGCTTGGTTTAGGCTTTATTTGCTGTTCTTTCTCCAGGTCCTTTAGGTGTAAGGTGGGCTTGTGCATATGGGATTTTTCTACCTTTTTGAGAGAGGCTTGGATGGCTATGTATTTCCCCCTTAGAACTGCCTATGCCGTATCCCATAGGTTTTGGACAGGTATGTTTTGACTCTCATTGGTTTGCATGAATTTTTTAAGTTCTTCTTTAATTTCTTGTTTACCCAATCATTCTTTACCAGGATGTTCTTTACCTTCCAAGTGTTTGTGTTCCTTCCAAATTTTTTCTTGTGATTAAATTCCATTTTCAAAGCATTGTGGTTTAATAACATGCAGGGAGTAACCTCTATCTTTTGGTATTGGTTGAGACCTGATTTGTGACCCAGAGAAAGTTCCATGTCCACTTGGGAAGAATGTGTATTCTGTTGCTTTAAAGGAGAATGTTCTGTATATATCTAAGAAGTCCACCTGGTCCAATGTGTCTTTCACAGGTCTTGTTTCTTTGTTCATCTTCTGCTTGATGATCTGTCCACTGCTGAGAGTGGAGTGTTGACATATCCTACTATTAATATATTATTATCAATATCTTTCTTTATTTTGGTTATTGTTTTATATAAATGGCTGTTCCCATACTGGGGGCCTAGATATTTACATTTGTTAGCTCTTCTTATTGGACAGACCCTTTAAGTATAATATAGTGTCCCTCAATGTCCCTTATTACTGTCTGTGTTTAAAGTCTAATTTGTCTGAAATGAGGATTGCTACCCCAGCTTTCTTCTGAGGTCCATTAACAAGGTTCTCCATCTCCTCACTTTCAATCTGGAGGTGTCTTTAGGTTCAAAATGAGTCTCTTGTAGACAATATATGGATGGTTCCTGTTTTTTTACTCCATCTGCTTCCTTGTTTCATTTGCTAGGAGCATTTAACCCATTTACATTTAGAGTGACTATTGAAAGATATGAATTTAGTGCCATTTTATTGCCTGTAAAATCCCTCTTTCCATAGATTTTCTGTTTCTTTCTGGTCTGTGTGACTCTTGGGATTTCTCTTCATTTATAGAATCCCTCTTAATATTTGAGGACTGGCTCGGTGGTCACATATTCTTTCAGTTTCTGCTTGTCCTGGAAGCGCTTTAGCTCTCATCCACTCTGAATGACATCCTAGGTGGATAAAATATTCTTAGTTGCATATTCATTTCATTTAGTACGCTGAATATATCTTGCCAACACTTTCTGGCTCACCAGGTGTCTGTGGATAGATCTGATGTTCTTTTGATGTTACTCCCTGTAGAGACCCTCCTTTCCCTAGGTTTTCTCAGGATTTTTTCCTTGGCTGTACAATTTTCAGGCTTCACTATTATATGTTCAGGTGGTGAGCTATATTCATTGATTTTGGGAGGGCTTCTCTCAGCCTCTTGGACTCAAATGCTTTTTTCCTCCCCCAGAATAGGGAAATTCTCAGCTATGATTTACTCAAATATACCTTCTAGCACTCTCTCTCTCTCTCTCTCTCTCCACCCACTTAGGGATCCCAATATTTCTGACATTGGAACTTTTCATGGCATCATTAATCTCTGCAATCCTTTTCTCATGTGTTACTAGAAGCCTGTCTCTGTTTTCTTCCACTTTCTTCTATAAGCTTGTCTTCTAGATCACTAATTTGTTTTTCTGCCTCATTTGCTCTGGCTGTTAGAGTATCCAATTTAGACTGCAACTCATTCATAGCATTTTTAAGTTTGGCCTGATTAGATCTCATTTCTAACCTTAGAAATTCTATATTGTCACTAATGCTTCTTTCAAGTCTAGCTATTGATGTCATGCTTGCTCTCCAGAATTCTATCTCTGACATTTTGCTTATATCCATATCCATTAGTTCTGTGGCAGATGACATTGTCTCTGTTTCTTTTCTTTGTTGAGAGTTCCACCTCCTAGTCATTCTCTCAAGGGATAGTTGGGTGAATGATCAGAGTTCAAAATATCAACCAGGACCTAAGCAAGACGCATCCTAGGAAAATCCAGAGTGGTTAGAAACCACCAACAAAAAACAAAGCCAAAAGGAAACACATAATAAAATTCATAAAATTAAAAAATACTTTTTTAAAGGAGAGGTGAGGGGAAGGTAGGCTATAATCTTTCAGTGTGGACAAAGCAGGGTATTTCAGTTGTCTCTGGGTGTATTTTGGTCTGTTTTTTAGAGGACACTACTTCCCAAAACTACAAGGAAAATAAAACGTGTGTGTGTGTGTGTGTGTGTGTGTGTGTGTGTGTGTATGTGTAAGACTGGATAGGGAAAAAAGGACTACAATAAAGCATATATCTATAAAGAAATACAGGTATGAAAAAGTACAAGTTAAAGAGCTACTATGAAATATAAGTTTATATAATAAACATCTAGTTGAAATGAGAAAAAGGTAAAAGAAAAACAGAGATAAAGCATTAAAAAAAGAATAGAAAGAAAAAGAGAGTTGTATCTGAAAAAAAAAAACAAAAAACAAAACAAAACAAAACAAAACAAAACACACAAAAAAACCAGGAGGCAATGTCTACAGCCCAACTGGAGCTCAGTATACTATTTTCCTCTGGCATTAGAATTTTATAGTCTTATGGGGTCCATAGGGTTGTCATCCCCTTGTTCTTCCAGCCTGTCTTCCAGCCTTTCCATCAAAGGGTCTTCCCCGCCCTGTCATCTGGAGTCCTGGCCCCTACAAAGCACCTTCTTCATTGCTCCTGTCACATCCTTGTTCCTCAGTGTATATATGACAGGGTTGACCATGGGGGTGATGATGGTGTAGAACAGAGAAACAAACTTGCCCTGATCCTGGGAATAGTTGTTGCTGGGCTGGAGGTAAGCATAGATGGCCGTGCCATAGAACAGGGAGACCACTGTGATGTGGGACCCACATGTCCCAAATGCTTTCCTCTGCCCTGCAGATGACTTTATTCTTAAGACCGCTCTGACGATCTGACCATAGGAGAAGATGATTAATGTCACAGGTATGAGGAGAATGACCACACTGACAAAGAAGAGCTCAGACTCATTCACAGTGGTGTCAACACAGGCAAGCTTGAGCAGTGGGGGGACCTCACAGAAGAAGTGGTCTATTTTATTTCTCCCACAAAGTGGTAAAAGGAAGATGAGCACTGTCTGCAATGAGGAGTTACCAAAACCAATAAACCATGATGCAGAAGCCATGAGGGCACAGAGACGGGGGTGCATGATCACGGTGTACTGCAGGGGCTTGCAGATGGCTGCATAGCGGTCAAACGCCATGACCCCTAACAGAATGCATTCTGTGGATCCCAGCCCTAGAGCAACAAACAGTTGAACTACACAGCCACCAAAGGAGATAGACTTGTCTGCTGTCCTGAGATGAACCAGGAGCTGAGGGACAGTGCTGGTCGTGTAACACAGGTCCAGAAAGCTTAGGTTGGAGAGGAAAAAGTACATGGGAGTCTGAAGATGTGGGTCGAGGTGGGACAAGGCAATGATGGTGGCGTTTCCCAGCAGAGTGAACAGGTAGAAGATCAGGAGGACCACAAAGAGGACTAGCTCCAGTTGAGGCCGGTCAGAGAACCCCAGCAGGATAAACCCCGTGAAAGAACTGCCATTTTTCTGTTCCATCCTCTGTTAGTACATGTTTCCTGTCAGGACCAAGCATTTAGCAATTTTTAAAGGAAATCTTCAAAAAAGTAAACAGTTGGTGGGGGTGGGAGGAGGATCTATTATGTTTTAAAGTAAAGGTCATTGGACTTTATCAGTAACTATTTGAAGAAATGGTGTACTCATTGAAATTGCATAGCTTATACCAATTTAGTTCCACATTATCACAAAAAGTAAATCATTTTAATTTAATATAAGAAAAAAAATACATAATGCCCCCTGTATTTGCCTCAGTTGTAGGTACAAAAGATCTTTTGGTTAGAGATTAATGGCACTTAAAGTACTGTAAATATGTAGGTTAATTTAAAAAAATTTTAAGTATTTATCTAAATTAAATTTAGTTAACGTAAACTGTATTATTAGTTTCAGAGGCAGAGTTCAGTGATTCATCAGTTGTGTATAACATCTTGTGCCGATTACATCGTGTGCCTTCCTTAATTTCCATTATCCACTTACCCTGTTCTCCCACTCACCTCCCCTCCAGCAACCCTCAGTTTGTTTCCTATGGTTAGACTCCCTCTCTATTTTCATTTTATTTTATTTTTCCTTCCTTTCCCCTAGGTTCATCTGTTTGGTTTCTTAAATTCCACATATAAGTGAAATCATATGGTATTTGAGTTTCTCTGACTGACTTATTTTGCTTAGCATAATACCCTCTAGTTCCATCTTGTTATTGTAAATGGCAAGATTTCATTCTTTTTGGTGGCTGAGTAATATTCGTTTAGATAAGGATAGCTAAAGCTAAAATTATATATATATGTGTGTGTGTGTGTGTGTGTGTGTGTGTGTGTGTGTGTGTGTGTATACACATATAGTCTTTATCCATTTATTTGTCGACGGACACCTGGGCTCTTTCTATATTTTGGCTATTGTGGGCATTGCTGATATAATCATTGGGGTGCAGGTGCCCTTTCAAATCACTATGTTTCTATCCTTTGGATAAATACCTAGTAGTGCAATTGCTGGGTTGTAGGGTAACTCTTTTTTCAACGTTTTGAGGAGTTTTCCAGAGTGGCTACACCAGTTTGCATTCCCACCAACAGTGTAGAGGGTACCCCTTTCTCTGTAACCTTGCCAATATCTGTTGTTTCCTGACTTGTTAACTTTAGCCATTCTGACCAGTGTGAGGTGGTATCTCATTATGGTTTTGAGTTGTATTTCCCTGATGCTGAGTGATACTGAGCTAATGGGATTACTTTCCATACTCATGGATTGAGAGATTAATATTGTTAAAATTTCTATACTATCCAAACAATCTATACATGAAATGCACTCCTTATCAAAATCAGCACTTTTCACAGAGCTGGAACAATCCTAAAATTTGTATTGCATCAGAAAGACCCAAATAGCCAAAACAATGTTGAAAAACAAAACAAAACAAAGCAGGAAGCATCAGAATTCCAGACTTCAAGCTGTGTTACAAAACTGTAATTATGGAGACAGTATTGTACTGCCACAAAAACAGACACATAGAACAGTGGAACAGAATAGAGAACCCAGAAATGGATTGTCAGCTCTATGATCACCTAGTCTTTGACAAAGCAGGAAAGAATATCCAGTGGAAAAAAGACAGTCTCTTTAGCAAATGGTGCTGGGAAAATTGAATGGCCACATGCAGAAGAATAAAACTGGACCATCTTCTTATACCATACACAAAAATAAACTCAAAATGAATGAAAGACCTAAATGTGAGACAGGAAAACATCAAAATCCTAGAGGAGACCCCAGGCAGCATGCTTTTTGACCTCTGCTGTAGCAACTAGATGTGTCTCCTTGGGCAAGGGAACAAAAGCAAAAATTAACTATTGGGACTTCATCAATATAGAAAGCCTCTTCACAGGGAAGGAAACTATTAACAAAACTAAAATTCAACCTATGGAATGGGAGAAGACGCTTGCAAATGACATATGTGATAAAGGGTTAGTATCCAAAATCTATAAGGAACTTGTCAAACTCAGCACCCCAAAAATAAACAATCCAGTTAGAAAAGGGCAGGAGACATTGAACAGATATTTCTCCAAAGACATCCAGATGGTTGACTGACACATGAAAAGATGCTCAACATCAGTCGTCATCAGGGAAGTACAAATCAATACCATGATGAGATATCACCTCACACCTGTCAGAATGGCGAACATGAACAACATAGGAAACACGAGGATGTTGGCAGGGATGTAGAGAAAAGGGAACCCTCTTACCTTGTTGGGAATGCAAGCTGGTACAGCCACTCTGGAAAATAGTATGGAGGGTGCTCAAAAAGTTGAAAATAGAGCTCCCAATCAATTGCACTACTGGGTATTTACTTCAAATACACAAATATAGTGATCTGAAGGGGCACCTGCACCCCAGTGTTTATAGCAGCAGTGTCCACAATAACCAAAGTATGGAAAGAGCCCAGATGTCCATCGAAAGATGAATGGATAAAGAAGATGTGGTATATGATAAAGAAGACAATGGAATTATGCAACCATCAAAAAAAAAAAGAAATCTTGCCATTTACAACAATGTGATATAACTAGAGGGTATTATGCTAAGTGAAATAAGTCAGTCAGAGAAAGACAACTACCATGATTTCACTCATATACAGAACTTGGGAAACAGAACAGATGAATATAGCGGACAGGAAAAAAGAAGTCTGGGAAGCAAACTATGTGAGTTTCTTAATGACCAGGAAAAAAACTCAGGGCTGATGCAGAGAGGTGGGTGGGGGATGGGCTAGATGGGTGATGGGTATTAAGGAAGGATTGTGATGAGCACGGGGTGTTATATGTAGGTGATGAATCACTAAATTCTAAATCTGAAACCAAATTTATCAGATATGTTAACTAACTAGAATTTAAATGAAAACTTGAAATCAACAAAAGAAAAAAAAAGACAATGAGTATTCTAACTCCATCATATGGAAATGGTTACACACACAGTACATTTTTAATTCTTCTAAGACTTCTCAAAACTGAATTGGTCTTGGGGGTAGACACATTGTTGTGTGGGAGAAATTGTTACAATATTCATTAAATGTTCATGAAATCTGAATTGAGAATGTAGCATTTCACACTATTTTATACCACCTTTGATTTCCTATAAAGATGTGATCAGGGGGCGCCTGGGTGGCTCAGTGGGTTAAGCCGCTGCCTTCGGCTCAGGTCATGGTCTCGGGGTCCTGGGATCGAGCCCCACATCAGGCTCTCTGCTCCGCAGGGAGCCTGCTTCCGCCTCACTCTCTGCCTGCTCCTCTGCCTACTTGTGATCTCTCTCTCTCTCTGTGTCAAATAAATAAATAAAATATTAAAAAAAAGATGTGATCAGTACCAGCCATGCATATAAATCTATGCAGAAAAACTTTCTTAATGGAATTAATTATAAAGGTATTTGAGACAGTCTGAACGTGCAACAACAGGGAATGTGCCCTGATTCACAGCTGCTCAGAAGCAAATAAAACAAACCATGTTTCAGTCTCCTGCACACTCACACAAATATAGATAGATACTTATCAGAAATAAATTGCTGGCAACTTTTTAAATGTGCTTCATAAATGCACTCACCAAAGTAAAGGAGAGTAAACATAGATGCTAACTCATCCAAAGGAAACAACAACATAATAATGCACCATTAGAATAAAATAATGGTATATTTTAACATTATCTTAGCCATGAGGACTAAGAAGGCAATTGAGCAAAGATAAAACTGGTGAGATAAACTTGTAAATATGATTTGCTGCTTTACAGGATTGTATGCTTATGTGTGTGTACACATAAAAGAATGCTGAATGACTGCCTATCTAACAAGTATAAAAATGAATATGTTTTTAAGGTGATAAATAAAATGTCAGGCAAAAAAGATGCCCACCAAAAGAGAAAAAGGAATGTGATTGTATTTCTATGTTAGGATTGCTTCCAGTGCCTTCCTGGACAGCACACTAGGAGGGAACTAGAATATGAATATCATTGTCTATCTTCTTACCTTTATTTTTTTCACCTTGCATTCAGGAAGGTTATCCTTTAGTAACTCTGGATATGAGAAAGATCAGGCTGCATAATTCATTCTCCCATCAATTCTCAAGAGTACTTTCTGCTGATCTGGGTCACTTTGTTCTCTTCTTTCTCTCCTCCTCAGCATCCATCTATCTTAAAGCTGTGTGCACCACCACAGAAAGAAATATTTTCAGAGAAATGTATGTTTAAGCTAAGGTTAAGGAGGAAATTTTGTTTTATTTCCTTCTTACAAAATATAAAGAATTGATAATTAGACTAAGCACCAATATCTATATAGGTAGGTATCAAATGACCAAATGCAGTAAGAGACATTGATTCCTCTTAGACAAACAATGTAAATAATGCTGGCTGAAAATATTGAACACATCCGCCCTAGGTACAGGAGCAAAGAATGGTGTCCTTAGTACCTATCATGATATATATGATACATGAAAATGCAGTTATAAAAATCAGACATAAATTATTTCTTTACATACCAAAAAAATAAATACTTGAAAAAAGCACAGGTTATATAAATAGAGAAAAAATTTTATTAGGTAAACTAAAAATAAATAGATTCCACAAAATAAAAAAAGATGACATTCTATGAAATAATTACCATCCAAAAAATATGATGGGAAATGACATCTCACAAGAACACAATTTTACAATAATAATTAAGAAAACAGGCATCAAATGAAAGAGGTTAAATGCTTAGTATCAGCACATGTAAGCTAATAGAGCCAATTACATAAGTGTTCAATGCTGACATATACATCTAAAAGTTTAAGTAAAAGAATATGTTTTTCCACAGAAATAGATGCTCAGTATGCACTGCACATTTTAAAGGCCAAAGATCTCAAGATAATATCTGTATTAAAGATATTTCAATTATATAACAGCCACCGATATAATTGACATACAAACCCTGCCCTATCCAGTTTCTGAATAAACCTGAAATAATGTTGGCAGTGGTAGAAATGAAAAACTATTACTTTAATAAAG